ATTTGCTATTGTGCAGATAGACTAAACAAGTTTAACTGCGCAGTCTGACGGCTGATCAAAATTTCTTACATGTCAGAAATGCATTCGACGGCCATTTGGGAGCAGCTGATCGCCACTCGATACACTGCACTCTAAACACACCTGACGAAGCGATTGTTCGGCCCATCTCTAAATGAGTTGTGCAGCTCTACAATCAGGTCAGAAATGGGCTGAAATTGTACAGTGTAAGCCCAATAAATCAGGCCATACCATGTGTGGTCTAATTTTTAAATGAAATAAAAGTAGCCTAATTTCCTTGATCATCCAAGCTATGGTGGGAAACAGTAGCCTATAATAATGGGTTCAGGGTTCAAGTTACGTGGGAGCTAGCAACGTGGAAGCAGTAAAATCATGCATTTGTCTGGATCACTAATTAATTTCTCAACAAACATTATGATGATGTATTTTTCATTGTAATTAGTAGCCTACTATTATTTACATTAAAAAAGATAAACTTAAAGTAACATGTTATCTTAATGAACAACGCTGCGCAGCGCATGACTGGATGGCTGCACTTTTCCACCATCAGCCATATGGTATAGAGTAGCCTTTAGTTTTGACCGAACAGGTTGAGCGACCCACAAACATAAACTCAGTTGTATTGTACTGCTGCTTGTTTGTTTAGCATATTTGGCTTTATAATGCATCCTCCAATTAGTAGGCCTAGGCCTACAGCACTACATAGGCTATTATAATATACTTCTCTGTGTGCCAGCGGCAAGCAGTGTTAAGACACCTTTAATCATTTGAGCATTGATCATCCTGCTGGGGGGGGGGGGAGGGGGAGGGGTTGTCCCAACCAGGGATTATTCAGCAGAGGCAGGGATATAGGCTACAAACTTTTTAGTCCCCGGATCTCTTTTCATGGAACTAAAACGTTCCTTCAGCCCATTGTTCAATTCAATTCAGTTTTATTTATATAGCGCCAAATCACAACAACAGTTATCTCACAGTGCTTTTCATAAAAGAGCAGGTCTAGACCGTACTCTATGATACTATTTACAGAAGCCCAACAGTTCCCACCAAGAGCAAGCACTAGGCGACAGAGGCAAGGAAAAACTTCCTTTTAAAAGGCAGAAACCTCGAGCAGAACCATGGCTCAGGGTGGGCGGCCATCTGCCTCGACCGGTAGGGGTGAAGGAGAGAGAGAGAGAGAGAGAGAGAGAGAGGGGAGGGAGGCAGCCTACACAATATACACACAGAGGTACAGACAGTAAAGGTGATGTTGCTATAGACTAAATGAAAAATGGTACAGATATTTATAGTAGTGTTAATGGTAACAGTCGTAATGTTAATGATTATAATAACAATAATAACAATAGGACTAGTAACAGTAGTCGTTGCAGCAGAGGGTGTCGAGCAGGAACACGGGGGCAGCAGGTGACCCGCAGCCACAGATCCAGACTCCACAGCTCCAGAGCCAGAAAACCTGCAGGAAGTGATAGGAGGAGAGAGGAGAGGGACGAGAAAGCACAAGACTACCGGAAAGGGGAGAAGTTGTGTTAGTAACATGCAATAATGGGATGAGGTTGCATACAGAGGGAGAGAAAGTAGAGGAGAGAGGAGCTCAGTGCATCATAGGAAATCCCCTGGCAGTCTAGGCCTATAGCAGCATAACTAAGGGATGGTTCAGGACTAACCTGAGCCATCCCTAACTATAAGCTTTATCAAAGAGGAAAGTCTTAAGCCTACTCTTAAATGTGGAGATGGTGTCTGCCTCCTGAACCCAAACTGGAACCTGGTTCCACAGGAGAGGAGCTTGATAGCTGAACGCTCTGGCTCCTAGTCTACTTTTGGAGACTCTAGGAACCACAAGTAACCCTGCATTCTGGGAGCGCAGTGCTCTGATGGGGTAGCAAGGTACTACAAGCTCTTTAAGATAAGATGGTGCCTGACCATTAAGAGTTTTGTAGATAAGAAGAATGATTTTAAATTCTATTCTGGATTTTACAGGAAGCCAATGCAAAGAAGCTAAAACAGGAGAAATGTGATCTCTTTAACACTATTATATATATATATAGAAATAGGAAATGTTGGAAAATATTAGCCGGGGGTCTAGGAGCATTAAATACTTAATTTCCTGCATTCTGGAGACATTCTGCTCCAATTTCTATAAAGAGAAACAAGACATTCAGCTGGCAGGTGAAAATCCATAAATATATAAAAATATAACAGAATACGTAGCAGTAATGCGTCCCTAATGTAAATTACACCTATGAGTAGTAAAAATCTGTGATTTTGTCCTTCAGTCTGCTTAATTAGCATACTAGTGTTTGAAATTCACACTCAGTTGTGACTTAATAAACCAGAGAGGTTTTGGCGCTGTTTCTTTGTTCAAGGCTTTTGGCTTTACATGCAAGCTGCTTCTTGTTTCCCATAAAGTGAGGTCCAACACTAGTGAAAGACAGGCTTAACCCTTGACGCAGATTTTCACGAATTCACATCATACCTCTTCCTTGCAGACTGCAAGCCAAGATAGCACATGGATTCCCCCAATGCCTGTTGGTGCATATTCTATATGTACCTAGGAACCTTTTGCAATCCCTGGTTTCTCGTTTATGCCTGCTAATTTGCATCATACCTACATATACCTCAATATATATCTTTTCTATGTTCTATAGACAAATTAACAGTCTTCACTTAATTTAACATCAGCTTGAAAGCCAATGAAAACACAAATAATTTTTATTTTTTTGATTGTAAAGAAATTCAGGCGTTAGGGGTTAAAATAAAATCTACTTTCCAGAAAGAATTAATGGTCTTATAGTAAAACTCAATGCTGGAAAATACATTTTTAGGCGACCAAAATGTTAGTTAACTTTTATGAACTGAAAACACTGTTGTAGCAGTCAGTATGTATTTGCTGCTATTTTAATTTATTAGTTTGGTCAAATCTAGGTTTTCTGGCTCTGGAACTGTGGAGTCTGGAGCTGTGGCTGCGGGTCACCTGCTGCCCCCGTGTTCCTGCTCGACACCCTCTGCTGCAACGACTATTGTTGCTAGTCTTATTGTTATTATTGTTATTATAATCATTAACATTACGATGGTTACCATTAACACTATTATAAATATCTGTACCATTTTTCATTTAGTCTATAGCAACATCACCTTCACTGTGTGTACCTCTGTGTGTATATTGTGTAGGCTGCCTCCCTCCCCTCTCTCTCTCCTTACATCTCTCTCTCCTTACATCTCTCTCTCTCTCTCTCTCTCACCCCAACCGGTCGAGCCAGATGGCCGCCCACCCTGAGCCATGGTTCTGCTCGAGGTTTCTGCCTCTTAAAAGGAAGTTTTTCCTTGCCTCTGTCGCCTAGTGCTTGCTCTTGGTGGGAACTGTTGGGCTTCTGTAAATATCATCACAGAGTACGGTCTAGACCTGCTCTTTTATGAAAAGCGCTGTGAGATAACTGTTGTTGTGATTTGGCGCTATATAAATAAATTGAATTAAATTGAAAATCTCCACATTGCTCTGGTTCTTGATTAGAGGAGCATTCAGAGCACCTGTTGCACAGGGACTGACTCCTCAACAAGGATTGAGCAAAGCTAGGTAATTCCCTCTTGGCTAATCAGTGTGGGGCGACGCTGATCTGAACTAGAAGGACCTACCTGCACACCCAGGTCTCTTTGAAGCATTCTGAACCCTAGGCTATCTGAGCAGAACTCACTCTCATAAACAAAGTCAGCCTGTAGCTCTGTCCTTTTGGGTCTTGTTGAGAACCCTTTTGCTGTCACTTTTGTCTATAACAAAAGCAGCCTTTTTGTTGAAAATATTACAATACAGTTACCCGCTGCATGCGGGCCCTGTATTTGTTGTTTTCATTTAAAACCCCTTCCCCATTTATTTCTTACCTTTGAGGCATTGTTTCACAGATGGCACCCAAAAACAAGTTCATGGCTAGTTAGTGTATCTTTGGAATTACTTTAAGTAGTTGATTCAGTCATATGTGTTTGTATGTGAATGTGTGGAATTGCAGTTTGTTTGACAGGATATCCTTGACTCTGTATCTGTAGCCATGTTTCCATCTAATTGTCATGCGAATTTTAATCGTACTTTTGAAATGTCGCAAAAAAGGGGGAAAAAAAATTGCTAAATATGTGCGTTTCCATCAGCTGGTTTGGAGCGAATAAACAAGGCTACGGCAAGTGTAGTTACGTCAATAGTTGATGTTAACATGGCTGTAATAAACAAGACGTATGGGTTCCAAACCAGAAACAAAACGAGTCGCATGAACCTGATGGCCATTGATCTTAGAAAAACAAAGAGAGGTCCTCAGAAATGTGTGTCAAGCGGCCAAGTTGCTACCAGCCATGTCTCCACACGTTATAGGAATATCCGGTGTTATGCCGACTTTTGCATGCCTGCCGAGAATTGCATGCTCCAAATACTGCTTTTAAACGCTAAAATATCCTTTGGGGTTCATCAATGGTGATAAATGAATCAAAGTATATATTTTTTTGAACATTTAGAGACGTTAATATTTTATTACACTCAGAAGGAGATTCAGCAAAAATATGCGGTGATTTGATCAGTGTGCAGAGCAAAGTAACTGAAAAGGACCTTTTAAGAGGTGAATGTATAATTCGGCAGAACAGATGACAACACATACCTGCCACGATTTGCATCCACCTCTTTTCTCAGCACCAATGAGCATTACCAGCTGTGAGGTGCATGAAATTCTCGGCAGGCATGCAGAACTCTGTACAACCGGGCAAGACGCCGACAGCAGAAAGAGCTGATAAGTCGTGAGTTACAAGTTTGCTACGTCAGAACTTATTCGGAAAAAGTGTTTCCATCTCCCATTTAGTGCATTTACTCTTTTTCAACAGGCAAAAACCACCTCAAGCTTTTGAATTTTGCCGATTCCATCAACCTTTTGTAATGCAATACTTCAAAATGCACATTAATCGTTGATGGAAACACTGCTTACACGGTGTGTAATCCTCTGTATTCTGTCTTTCAGAGGGGGGGTCAAAAGGTTTCCTGGACAGCCATAATCTTGTTGCTTATTGGTTGGACATTTGCCTTGGTCAGCCTGTTTCTTGCTGCAGCCAAACAGATCACCTGGTTGGATTGCCTCTACTATTTCTCCTACATTAAACTAGCAGTCACTCTGATCAAATATGCGCCACAGGTAAGCACACACATAGTGAAGGACCAAGAAAATGGAAACACTCGGACATTGTAATGTATTGCAGTATAGTAGCCATGCAGTAAATAATACCTACCAAATGTTTTGTTTGTGTTAGTTGTGTATTTTGAGACTGTTAAAATAGAATAGAATACAAGCAATTACACCAACAGCACAAACTTAAATACAGACTAAAGATTTGATCTGCTCACTGTATAGAAAATATCACAGGATCTAATGCACTTCATCATCATCATCGATTCTGTCTTAACTGTAAAATTGATTGATACAACATATGAGACTCTTCTCATATGAGTTATGTGGTATTCCACAAAGTTCAGTCCAGTATTATATTTTGGTGTTCATTTTCTTCATTACTTACTGTGTTTCTGTGCTTCTGGTTTTCTGGCTGTTTTTCCAGGCATACATGAACTACAGAAGACAGAGTACTGAGGGGTGGAGTATTGGCAATGTGTTGCTGGACTTTACTGGTGGAACTCTTAGTATTCTACAGATGATCCTAGAGTCTTACAACAATGGTAACTACTGTTCTTGATGCCATTGTGGTTGTAGATGTATTAAGGAATATTAAAAAAGGGATAAATCTAAAAAGAAGTTAATTTAAGTTAAAACGGCATGGTTCTTGTTATTAAATGTAAGGGAGAACTAATCTATACGTATGTGATGTATTGTGCAAAGCATTTGTAGTTAAAAAAATAACAATTAGGGCCCGAGCGTGAACTGTGCGAGGTCCCTATTGAAACTGAAGGAATTATTAGGGCCCGAGCACGAACCGTGTGAGGTCCCTATTGAAACTTAAGGGGTTATTTTTTATACCCATAAGTCATAGCGCCACCTGCAGGCAACAGGAAATGACACGTTTTACACTGTCATTGCCTATCAACTTCAAAACTGTCCCAGAAAACCCTTAACACATTGATAATGCCAATATTGTAAAACTTGTGAGTTTGCAGTTAAAGTTGTTGTAACTTGACTGTACATGCTCAAATCTGTACCAAATTTTACATACTTGATTAGAGTCCCCCTGAACACATGTACAAGCCAACATTCACACATAGTCATAGCGCTACCTACTGGCAACGGGAAGTGACCTTCAACGAAGCAGCCCCCGCGGCACGTTTTACCTAAATGTATGAAATTTCTGTGGCACATGTATCATGTCCGGATGTACCTCTTGGAGCGATGTCCTAAACTCAACAGGAAGTTGGACATTTTGAATTTTATGGTCATTTTTGGATTTTTTACACTCACTGTACTTTAAATCTGAAGTCAGTCAGAATATGACGATTATTCTCACTAAATCCACTTCTGAGAAGTTTTGAGGTGCGAAATCAACTGTGTAGATTTTGAATATTGACAGTTTTACGAAAAGTGAACTATCTGTACTGGAAAACGGAGCACGGCCATGAGTTGAGCTGGTACTGGTAATGGAAAAGCGCCATTATAGTCGTAGTGCGAATTGCTATGTAGCATTACAAATGGGACACAGGAAGTGATGATTAACACCTTTGTGCAGCATCTGAAGCGCGCGGCAAATTCAGTGCTACACGTGTGAGGGCCTGCCCAACGCTGCTTGCAGCTTTAATTTTATTCTGTCTTTTCTCATGAAATTCAAGAAATGAGGGGTCAGGTTTTTATAAATGCACTCAGATGTAAGATATTCTTATAGGAAGAAGAGAATTACAGGGATATATCCAGATTCTCCTGATGACTGATGGTTACCGTGTTCAGTGTTACACAAAGTACAGCTGAGGCTATAGGGAATGCCCTTAGTATTTGTTCATAAACCAGTAGCATAAACCAGTAATTAGACAAATTAGACAATTTATTTATAATATTAGACAAATAAAATTTCAGTTAGTGAAAGTTCACCAAAGTGAAGTTGGCATGAAATTGGGTTCTATTAAATAGTTATTCAATTGCGATATGTCTGTCTGGACCAAACTGGTGTACTGACCGACCAACATTGCCATCCCTAGAGCCCCACAATTAGCATGTCAAATTATTTATGCTTCTTTATTTATATAAAGATTTACGTTAATTTAAAAAAATGAAAATAGTATTCTGGGTATTTGACTAACACAGTGTATATATTGTACAAAACTTTCTCTCCTCAGACGAGTGGAGGCTGATATTTGGTGATCCCACAAAGTTTGGTCTCGGTCTGTTCTCTGTGGTGTTTGACGTCCTCTTCATGACTCAGCACTACTGTCTCTACAGACAGCCACCACAGTATGAAGCTGTTGGAGAGCAACAAGAGGACTGATGCTGACTCGGTGCTGTGTGGATAAACTCGTGTCTGATTTGTATCCAGCTTGAGCTCAGTGGGCCGCCTCCTTAAATATCTCAGGATCAGCACTTGTTGTTTACCACTGTATGAAACTTTTTTGGTTGATAGAAGGTACAAGAAAAACTGTTGTATTGATAATATATATATATATCACAGCTGAATCAAAATAGTATTTTTGGATAATATAATTAAGGATAGGAGAGTGTGTTTTTCGAAAGGGTACAATGGAGGTGCTTTTTGTCTTTTCACCTTTCTATTTTTTGAGTTATATATATTTTTTGTCCCCGCGACCCGATCCCGGATAAGCGGATGAAGATGGATGGATGGATGGATCTTTTTTGTGCATGTAATAGATTAGCCAGGTGGAACTCCCAAAGGGAGTTCCCATCTCCCACAGAAAACACTGCTCTGAACTGCTTGAAAACAGTTCGTTTGTAGTCCAGCCTTTACTTCCATAACCAAGTTCTGTCACTTTGTAACAATCATCCTTATGCTTGCTTAGCTGCTAGTCAAGCACACCTCAAAAATACTGGTGGAAAATCACACTGAGCTGCAGAACACACAGTCACAAGTTGTTAAAAGTGTTAAAGTGCAATTTATACTTCTGCGTCAAATCGACGGTGTAGGTGACGGCGTAAGCTACGGGGCTACGCAGAGGGCTACGCCGTCGCCTCATGCGCACCTCCTTCAAAATGTAACTACACCTCGAGTCGACGTGGACCGTAAGCTCTGTGATGGTTAGATGCTTTAAAGTAACATTACTAGCGGCAAAAACGGCGGCTGTAACACAGTGAATCAATATATTTGACCGTCGCAACCCGAGCGAAATGACTCGTTTCGCTATTAGAATGTGATCCATTCGGTCGGTAACATTTGAAAAGGCTACACCAGCAGCACATATACAATTTTACCCCCATTTACATTAGCGGAGCGCTAAACTGGAAGTTAGCCTGCTCGGCCGGCAAAAGTCAACACAGTGGACGCTGTAGCGCTACTGCCGACTAGCGTTTGGGGGTTTAACTGCAGAATGACGGAAACACCTACGCACAAGTATAAATGCATGGCTACGTGCGTACCTAGGCCATAGGCTACGCACGTAGACCCTACGCAGCAGTATAAATGAGCCTTAAGCCTACTCTTGTTGCCTGACCATTAAGAGCTTTGTATGTGAGAAGAAGGATTTTAAATTCTATTCTGGATTTTACTGGGCAGTGCAGAGAAGCTAAAACAGGAAAATATGATCTCTTATCCTGGTTCCTGTCAAAACACTTGCAGCAGCATTCTGAATCAGCTGAACTGGTCTTATTTGAGCAGGCTTGATAATAAAGAATTGTAATAATTCAGCCTAGAAGTAACAAATGCATGGACTAGATTTTCTGCATCATTTTGCAATATTACGTAGGTAAAAAGTGATTATTTGTTTTTTTATTATAGCTTATAATTTAGTTTCATTTCATTGGTGTGATGCCCGGAACGGCACAGGACAGAGGAAACTTTTGCTCTGGTGGAGGGTCAATCAGGACAGCTGCTTCACTCCAGACAGTTTCTCTGTATGGACCTGGGGTCTCATTTATAAAACTGTGCATAGAAACCTCACTAAAAGTGTCCGTACTCCCAAAAGCCTTTATAACCGATCTGCAGGAGTAATGACATCACTGGCTGGAGACGCACATGCAAGACAGGATGATCCAGGTAGTAATTTGTATCCCCCCGGTTTGAAAAGAGAGTAAACCTAATGCATTCCCTTGTGTTTGAACATTTATTTAGGCTACACAAACAGTCCACTCATTTAACGAAGCTGCCAATGAGTTAAAAGAAATATGATTTGTTTTATATGACACACAAAGATTTCTTTAATAAAATAGTGTTATAGTTTCCGTAACGCGTTTTTCCAGGCAGCACATCACATCCACAAGCTGCTGCACAGCATTTGGCTCAATAAGGCAACAAACATCTGATAGGCAATGTGAAACTATGCACTTGAAAATCAATTTAAATGTAATTTGTCCTCCTGTAAGGTTGTCACCTTATTTATGAGAATAAATTGCACTGCATGAAAGTATTAATGATTCCTGATTAAGCTGTACAACATATTTGAGGCGTTCTTTTGCAGAAACAGAAATCTCCATTTGTGTTTATTGTCCTAAATTTGGTTCTTTTTGTGTGCTCTGCAAATGATCTTAAGTGATAGGGGTTTTTTTGCGCACTTCAGAGAAAAACAGTCAAACTGGTGTTTATTTATTCAGAAAGGCTTTAGGCCTATAATACTCAGAGGTAATATTTCAATTTAATTTACACAATAGTAGGCCTCCTCATTTCAAACCCTTTCATCCTTCTGCCATGTGAGTCGCCGTTTCTAATACAGAAATCTAGGTGTTTGTAAGGTGGAAGCTAGAAAGCACAGCTTGAATGCAGCTTGTTCACAAACAAAAGAAAATTCAGAGAGTTTAACAGAATTATATTATTCTAAACAAAGACTTTAGGTAGAAAGGTAAACATTAGCCTATATATTGTTGATCACATCAGAAAACACACCAGTCCGCTCCCGCTGCTAACAGCCGTCTGCCAGAAACGGTGGTTATAGCCTACTTGTATTTGTAGCCTACCGGGATGGCACGGTTCCGCCAGGTTGGTCTCTCCAGGGGCGGACTGGTCATTGTGGTGTTCAGGAACAATCCCGAACGGTCGGTCTAGGTCTTCACATATCTTATGCCAGAAATTTCAATTTCCTAACAGAATTTCTGTTCTATGTCCATCCAATGATCCATTTTAATCTCTTACAATGGATCCGCCCCTCTGCCTGCTCTCTTGTGGGACAGGCTGGTGCTCTGATATTGTAGTCTGTTGGCCATGAAGAAATGGAAAAAAAGGTAGTTCTAAATAGGGATGCAGCGATTACCGGATTTCACTATTAACCACGCTTTAAAACGTCAACGTTTAAAGGCTCCACTACACCGAGTGTTTCTGTTGCAGGGAACGAAACTGTGGCAACTTGCTAAAACAAAAACAAAGTTACAGGAGCAATGCATCTGCGTAAGTGTTGTGCTTAAGGCAGAGGGGCCAAACTGTGAAGCTTTAGCCGTTTCTTTGGTGGAAATAAAGTCGGCAGTGTGGGAGCATTTCGGGTACACCAAGTCTGACCAGGGCGTTACTAAAGATGACGGATCACCTGTTCAAAAACTTGCGTTTAAAAGGTTCCTGCTAAAGGAGCGAATAATTACATTAAACTGGATGCAGCACCTGTGGGATCACCACCTAGCTTTGCACGGCCAAATAAAGGAAGGCCTAATACATTATATTGAATAACGTAGCAAGTTGGTAGGGAATTAAATATAAACGTGTCACTTATAATCAATGCCCTAGCGTTGACAGTCGAGCTTTCAGTGCAACGTAAACAAACCAAGCAGGTGTAATCGTTCAGACCCACCGCTGCGCTATGAGGTCCATTAATTTCAATGGCTTGGTTTGTTGCTGCTTTGAGCAACGCGCACCACACGGCGAGCTCGCGCGCACGCTGCGGTCAAAGTAGTTGAATATCAGCGCTGAGCATATTCCACGCAGTGCAAATCGCTTCTTTTCTGAAAGGGCCTTTATGGAAAACAGAACATAGTCCTCTCAAGACCTTCAGTCACTGAACATTTAATGTTACATCATGTTGCCTCCTCCTGTCTGTGTTGAGAAAATGTTGCCAGGTGTAAAACACTAACATACATCAGGAGCTTATAGACTTTCAGGACTATAGGCTACCAGTTAACTGCATTTCAGTTAACACTGCACTCAATTTCACATCATTTTCACTAATACTTATGTATGGATGAGAGTGGATGACAGTAACAGTTCAGTTTATTCCCCTCCTTTATAACAATTTCCCCTGGGGGATAAAAGTTAATATTCCTCTTATTTTAATAACACATTTTATAGAAATATAATTGTTAATGTCATTAAATATTAAAACTCAACTTAAGTTATTACTAGTGTTGTTAAATTAATGCATAATTGTAATAATCATGAAACCGTGATTATTTCTCTGACAATAATCCATCCATCCATCGTCAACCGCTTGTTGACGATGGCGGGGCTGCCAATAATCGTACCAACAAAATCTATAATCGTTGCATCCCTAGTTCTAAACCACCACAATCTTTTGATTTTTGCAGAGTTTTAGAACTGATTCTTGGCAGTAATTGATTTTGGGAAGTACCATCATTTTTACGGCGGTGTCTTTTCCCATGAGCAATGTCATCCATCGCACTAGGTCATCCTCTGTTGATTTAAGTAGAGGCATGTAATTTAGCCACATCAGGTCTGACAGACATAAGTGCTATTGTCTCCAAAAAGACTGAGTATAGGAGAAAATCTGCATAAAAGGCTTATCTTGTGGAGGAAAAAAAATTACGCCTGGCTGCAGCTGTAGACCAGGGGGCACAGCTCCCCCTCAGAAGATTGCTACAGGCCACAGCCTGTACAACTTATTGGTGTTAGGAATGGAAAATCCCCCTCAGAAGATTCGCATACGGCTAAAGAGATCAGTTTCTCACAGTACAAAGTTAGTTATTAGTAAGTTTTATTTTCTATTTACATCAAATTTGTTATATAAATATAATACATCATTTTCAGAAAAGCTGTCAAGTCAATCACAACATGGTGGGGTTAAACACACAGGTTAGGAGGGTATGTTGATTGATTGGCTGGACTCAAAAATCACCTGCATGCACATAAGCAATATGGGTAGTCTGTTGTACTGTCAGTGAAAATCATACAGAGTGGGCAGTAAGATTGGCTTCAGTGGTCAGCCTCTTGACAAGTACTTCAGGAGTAGCTGGATGCCCGAAGCTGTAGACTGAATGTGACAATCAACATGTGCGTACAATATTCAGGATGTGAACAGTTCTTGTTAGAACGACAACTGACATTTCATGACAACTGCTCATACACTGTCCAGAATTCAGTATATTTGCAGATTGAGGTTATATTTAAAGCATCAGTCCACAGATTTACGAACTAAGGACCAGTCTAGCTAATCAAACAAAAACTGATCCCCAAGTGTTAAGTGCTCACACCACTTGGGGATCACTTGGGGACCCAGCCCCCGGTCAAAAATAAGTACAGCGGTTTGTCTCTGACTTTGCTTTTTGACTTTAGATCAGAGTCACCATTCCAGAGTCAACATCAGCATGTGTCAGCCAGATGACATAGCTTTTGTTAGGTTCCAAACAAGTTTTGTTTGAGATGCTGGTAACAGAAGGGTAAAGAGTGGGTGGAGACAGTAGAGGTACGGAGGGCTGGGATGTCGTACAGAAAAAGTAACATGCAAGTGAAATTCTTTGATACTTGGCTGATGAGACTACATAGTTCTGAGGTCCATAAACTGTCTGGCCACTTCATCTGTAGATCAACCTCATCAATCTGTATAAACTGAAGCTGTTTGTTGTAAATAAACCTTTTTCTATTTTACCAATTGGTACAAAACATCTGTGTTTCCTGCTGTCCAGTATTAATCAAGAAGCAAAAGTATGGTTATATGTGTACAGTAGCAGCTGATGGACTCCTGAAGTCCAGGTCCTCCTGTATGCAGGCCATGACGCTCTGCTCAGGCATTGTTGATGATTATGAGAGCAGGACTAGCTGTCTGCTGGCTCGTCTCACACATGGCGGCCTGCTCAGCTGGCTTGGCAAAGACTCGGTGCGTGTTAAGGTTGTAGACTCCTGCCTGGAGGAAACAGGCTCTCAGGGTCAGGCACAGCACCTCCTGAGGCTTCAGCTGCAGCTTATACTGGGTCTGACCCACCCAGGTAAAAGAGCTGTGGACCTCCAGAGACTCCGTGCTGAAAAAGGCATGGATATATGGAGAGCTTAGACAATATGTTCACCTTAACCAGACAATCGAAAGTTATTTGACTGGCCATCAAGTCCAAGTCCTGTCCACTGTCAGACAGCAAAATACCTTCACTGTGTATAGTTTATTGTATACACAAGTCTGGGACTATTTGTTAATTGGAATTTTACAGCATTCTTCTTCTGTGAAACTCTGTGTACATGTGTTATTTTGTAACAAATCAGGTTGAGACATGGTATTTTCAGTAATCTGTTTGACCTTAATGTGTATTAAAGGTTATGATGTATTTTTATTTTATTTTCACTTAGGGGTGTACTCACTTTTGCCGCCAGTGGTTTAGACATTGATGGCTGGGTGATGTGTTATTTTGAAATTTACACTGTTGCTGTACACTCACTACTTTTCATTGTAGTAAAGTGTTATTTCTTCAGTGTTGTCACATGAAAAGATATAATCAAATATTTGAAGTATTGCTCTTGTGTACATGGCCATATTTTCACCAATTCTCTGAACAAATAGTTGGAAAAGCTGGAGCAGATAATAAACAAACAACACCCAAAGATCAGTCTGCTGGGGAGGAACTACAACCATAAAATTTGGTGAAAGTAATTTAGTTGATTATGATGCTCTCCACAGTGATTTTACATTTATGGCACAGCATGTTTTGCCTTAACTGCAGGAAACCCCTGTTAATATATTAATAAGGGTAGGTAGTAATAAAATACAGCTACCAGTTACTTTCTATAAATTGAGCTAATGCTAAGTTACATAGCTGCCAAAAAGCAGCTGTTAATTTTAAAGCACAAGCTTTATTGCTCAGCTGTGCAGTCTGAAGGGAAGGGGAGATGTTAGCTAGCGCGAACTGGCTTCACTTTGCCAGCAGACTTTTCTTGGTCTTGAGAAGCTAACACACCGTAACCAACACATACATTTACTGCCAGAATATTTTCCTCTGTTTGCGTTCAGCGTCACTTTCTGCAGCTTGGAAAATCAAACACTTGCTAAGCACCTCCCAATTCGGAGTTACGCTGCTCTCATAACAGCAGCAGTATGTCCTTTGAAGAATGAGAAGAGGAACCGAGCCAAGCGATGAGTGTTACCGTGCTTGCAGTGTGTGTGAGTGAACATAAGTAGCGCATTGATATAATAATGATTGTGTGAAATTTTAGTAGAGGCGGTCATAATTCAGCAGCGCGCACCACTTCTCTTGAATGCATATAGGGGGAAACACTGGTGTGTGATTGTGTGTGTAAAAATGCATCATCTACAAAGAAACCTACCTGGTGCTTTTGTGCTGCATGTCAATGATGACATCCACCTGAGCCAAGGAGCAGTTGGACAGAGTCAGAGTAACAGGCACCACACAGAGACTAGAGACAGAGAGCAGAAAAGCAGCTTTACTAACCACTTCTTCATTTATTTTTCATTTTGCAACAGGGTTGTATAATGAGATGCAATTTGTTTCCTTTATGCTACTCACAAAAGCAAACGTTATATACAAAAATATAAAATTATATACTGACATAAAAGTACAGTCCGTGGTTCAGTATGTTGTGCTTAAGAGTCTCATAGGCTGTGTAAACTGATACAGGACTCTGAAGAGTTCGAAGCCAGCCAGCTGCAGCGTAAAGAGGAGCCCGAAACAGAATTCTCTAGCATTCTGCCTCAGGCCTACGTTCAAGACGCACAGAGCAAGCTGGGTGACCGGATACTGTGTGTGGAGCAGACAAACCTGGACTCCCTTGTTATTGTTCTCGGTGACTTTAACAGGGGAAATCTCAGCCAAGAACTCCCCAAATACAGAATACATAAAGTGTCCAACCAGAGAGGGGAACACTTTGGATCACTGCTACACCACAGTTAGCAGTGCCTATCACGGCGTCACACGCGCTGCACTGGGACACTCTGATCATTTTATGATCTACCTTATTCATGCTTACAGGCAAAAATTTTAACTCTGTAAACCTGTGGTGAGGACATCAAAGAATGGACCAGTGAAGCTGTAGAGGATCTCCAGGCGTGTTTGGACTGCACTGACTGGGATGTATTCAAGATTGTTGCCAACAACAATCCAGAGTTTACTAATGATGTGACGTCCTCAGCTTCTGTGAGGACAGCTGTATACAGGGATGTTCTGGGACTGAAATTCAGCCCGGGACTTTGAGACGGAGAGGCCTTTTATGCAAGAAATATTTTTTGCAGTTATTTTAATACATATTAGTGTTTTTGTTGCATACAGAAAATCAGATTATGCTGAAGACCTTCAAGAAACCTCAGGATGACATCTGCCTCTTCAGTTTGTATAAGCAAGGCAGCTCTGCACTGAACAAGACCAGGTCAGGCAAGCCTGAGTCAGACAGAGTGCTAAAATACTTAAATATAATCAAAAACTACAATGCATGCATTCCCATAAAATAGAGCAGTGTGTAGCCTATGTGTGTGCATAAAAATCAAATCCCTTCATCTTCAGCTCGGAGTAGGCCTCTCCCTGGCTCAGCTTCCCCTGTGCTGGACCCTGACTCTGCTTGTACTGATTGTGGACCCAGTCTGATAGACACAGACAGCGTTTGCTGCTGCTGACGGCTGGCTGGTGCGTCGCGGATCATAAAGTAAAACATTAGAAACTGAAAACTCCCGACCCCCAGCCGGTTCGGCTTGAAATAGACCGGCCGTTCGGGATTGTTCCTGAACACCACAATGACCAGTCCGCCCCTGCCTGCATACCAACATGCACCAGGGTGACAAACCCTGGTTTACAGCTAAACTCAGACAGCTAAGGTTGGAAAAGGAGGAGGCATTTAGGAGTGGGGACCGAGCCGGGCGCAGGGCGTTAAAGTACAGGTTTAGCGTGTTCAGGTGCGAGAAGCTAAACGACTGTACTCAGAGAGGCTAAAGGACCAGTTCTCTGCAAACGACGCTACTTCAGTCTGGAAGTTCTGCAGGACAAGCTCTCTCAGCTGAACGTGCCCGTCTCCACCTGCAGGTGGATCACAGACTTCCTGACGGAAAGGAAGCAGCACATGAAGCTGGGAAAACATGTCTCTGATTCCAGGACCATCAGCACCGGTTCCCCTCAAGGCTGCATTCTTTCTCCCCTTCTCTTCTCCCTTTGCACCTCCAGTCACCAGTCCGTCCCTTCTGATTCTGGCAGAGCGCTAATGTTAATGAGTCGTGAAACAGTATATTTTTCAATTTTCAATTCAATTTCAAAAGTTATCTCATAGCACTTTTCATAAAAGAGCAGGTCTAGACCTGTGTCTAGTTTCTGTAAATATTATCACAGTACTCTGATATTATTTACAGAAACACATTTCATATCATTCTATATCGATAATTATCACAATATATGTCAAATCATTATTTCTTTCAAGTTTAAAGGCAGATTTTTTGCTCCTGAGTGAAACTTATAACTTATCTTTATGGTCAGAATGTGACAAACACTTGATGCCAAACAGTGGATCATTTCACAAGTCTGAAGTAGAACATTCAAAACTATTATCTTTTTCAACAAATATGATTAGTTAATCTTTTTTCATGCCTCTTTTTTCAACAAAATATTTTAATAGAAAAATCAAGTGCTAATTTGTTTGTGATTCAAATTAATTAAAGCAAATATTTATGACGATATATTGAACATTTATTATATTGTTATTGAGGAAAATTATATTGCGATAATTTTCATTATTGTTTTATTGCTCAGCCGTACACTGTAGACAGACATGGTGTATTAAATGCATTCAACAGCAGGTCACTGTATCACAGACGTAATGTTTTAGGCTACGTTCACACTGCAGGCCTTAATGCTCTATTCCGATTTTTGAGGGGGCATTATTATTATTATTATTATTATATTCCATCTTCGGTTAATTAATGTAGGTGAAGTTGCAGGCATGATCACTCAATCATGACTGGACCAAAATAGTCAGGTGACACGCAGTCGGAAGACAATAAAATTGGTCGAAGGTGTAATATTTACAAAATACAGGCCTACAGCTTGCACTAACTTTGAATACAGTGTTTTCAACATATACTTTATTTGAGCGGCCGGCCAGGTATATGTGCACCTGCCAAAGTATATTTGGCTCTTTATTTGGCACTTTAGCATTTTGCGGAGAAACACACAGAGATATTACATTAACAAACATGGAGGAAATGTTACATTACGGAATGACAGTGAACGCACCACTGCAGACTAACAATAGTTTCAGTTTCTATCCAACTTGAAAACTGAATCACGGGTGAGTTTAATAAACACGGCGACTTTATGAAAAGTAGTGCTGATGTAGATAGTTAGCAGAGACACATACAGGGAGAGAGAGACAGTTAGAGGCGGAGCAAGCTGGCGTATTTGCCGTGAGACCAGAGGTGCAGGCTACACTGCATGAAAAGTGGGATTTTCAGCAGTAAATGGCACGTTAAATTGCCATGGAAGTTCAGGTTAATGGCTGCACATGGGAATTTCTGGCCAGTATCAAAAACTGTCAGGGACTGCCGGGAATTGACATGGATTTCGTGTCAGTGTTTCCCCCATAACCCACTTCCTCCTAGGTCTGGGGAAGGCTTTCATATGTAAATGATAATGCTGGGAGCTACACAAATACAAAATCAGGTAAGCCCCCACTGGTCAGAGGTGACATCTCCAGAAATCAATTAATTAAATGAAGGAAAGGTGGCAAAAGTAATTAGAGGAAGAGAGGAATGAGTTCTACAGAGTGCAGAGGATACTTGGAGAAATGAGATGTGCAGGATGGAACAGGAGAGACCAAACAATCCTATCAAGACTTAGATTTGTACACACTGGACTAAACAGCACATAATTCAAAATAGGCAAACATAAACATAAGTGGCTGTGACTACTACGGGCAAAAAGATGCTGTGGAGCATGTTGTAAGAAGCATGAAGAAGAAAGAAGGCAGTGGTTCAAAACCTCAGAACGATAAAAGTACACTTTGGTTTAATAATTAATTAATTAATAAGTTTAATTATTTTTCAGTATCGCGAACCAAACAATATTAAAGAGGACATGAGTTTATTATTATTATTTATTTAAATAATATAAGTACCAAAATCCACACTCCTTACCAGTTGTTGGTGGTAAGGCACCAATTCGTTGTTTGCCAATCGCTAATAATATTCCAGAAGAAGCAGCAGCAGCAGCAGGAGAAAAAGAGACTCCCAGACTAAAAAAAGTAAGGTGGGGTTCTGGTCCTTTACAATGTCCGGCGTTGTGCCGAATTCTACCTGCCTGCCGAGAATTGCATGCACCTCGCATTTACAGGTGCTGGTCGTATAAATAGAATATCATCAAAAAGTTGATATATTTCAGTAATTCCATTCAAAAAGTGAAACTTGGATATTATATTCATTCATTACACACAGACTGATATATTTCAGATGTTTATTTCATTTAATTGTGATGATTAAAACTGACAACTAATGAAAATCCCAAATTCAGTATCTCCGAAAATTAGAATATTACTTAAGACATAAACCCTAACCCTAAAACTTCCTGGTAGACGGCTGCGTTGACCTTGGACCTCAGAAAACACAGTGGACCAACACCAGCAGATGACATGGCACCCCAAACCATCACTGACTGTGGAAACTTTACACTGGACTTCAAGCAACGTGGATTCTGTGCCTGTCCTCTCTTCCTCCAGACTCTGGGACCTTGATTTCCAAAGGAAATGCAACATTTATTTTCATCAGAGAACATAACTTTGGGCCACTCAGCAGCAGTCCAGTCCTTTTTGTCTTTAGCCCAGGCGAGACGCTTCTGACGTTGTGTCTTGTTCAAGAGTGGCTTGACACAAGGAATGCGACAGCTGAAACCCATGTCTTGCATACGTCTGTGCGTGGTGATTCTTGAAGCACTGACTCCAGCTGCAGTCCACTCTTTGTGAATCTCCCCCACATTTTTGAATGGCTTTTGTTTCACAATCCTCTCCAGGGTGCGGTTATCCCTATTGCTTGTACACTTTTTTCTACCACATCTTTTCCTTCCCTTAATGTGCTTGGACACAGAGCTCTGTGAACAGCCAGCCTCTTTAGCAATGACCTTTTGTGTCTTGCCCTCCTTGTGCAAGGTGTCAATGGTCGTCTTTTGGACAGCTGTCAAGTCAGCAGTCTTCCCCATGATTGTGTAGCCTACAGAACTAGACTGAGAGACCATTTAAAGGCCTTTGCAGGTGTTTTGAGTTAATAAGCTGATTAGAGTGTGGCACCAGGTGTCTTCAATCTTGATCCTTTTCACAATATTCTAATTTTCTGAGATACTGATTTTGGGGTTTTCATTAGTTGGCAGTTATAATCATCAAAATTAAAAGGAATGAACACTTGAAATATATCAGTCTGTGTGGAATGAATGAATATAATATCCAAGTTTCACTTTTTGAATGGAATTACTGAAATAAATCAACTTTTTGATGATATTCTAATTGAATGACCAGCATGACCTGTATGCTGAGAAAAGAGGTGGATGCAAATCTCAGCACGGAGCCTATAAAATTTAATCTGCCGATTATGTACCTCTTTAGGTCCTTTTCAGACAATTTGCTGTGCTCATTGATCAAATACGGTTATCACAACATATATTTACTGAATGTCAAGGAATCAGAATCAGATCTATCTATATCGATCTATCTATCTCTATTATCTCTCTATTTATTTATATTAATATATATTATATTTATTTAACTGTATTCAGAGCACGAAACGTGTAAGGTCCCAATTGAAACTGAAGGGATTTTTTGTCTTTTTTTTTTCCCCGTGTTTTATGGGTTTCACGCATGGGCGTGGCAAAATGGCTCGCTAGCGCCCCCTACAGAGCAGCCCCCAGACAAAGTTTCACTTACGTGTACAAAATGTCTGTGGTATGTTTATCATGTCCAGATGCACAGAAAAGCCTCTTGGAGCCATTGCCTAAACCCAACAGGAAGTAGGCCATTTTGGATTTAATGCTCATTTTTTGCGATTGACACACTTTGTACTTTAACGAACTCCTCCTAGGGATTTAGTCCGACTGACTTCAGATTTGTGCTGTGCAGTCTAAACCCACTGATTTGATACAGCGTTTTGATGCTGTAATCAGGGCTTGACATTAACACCCGCCAACCCGCCAAATGTGGGTGGATTTCGGCCGTGGTGGGTAACACAGTCACTCCCACTAGCCACTTTGGCGTGTTGAAAAAGTTTAGTCTTGTCAAAAGACTGAAATAACAAAGGAATTGCAATGTGACACTACAACTCCCATAAGTACTACCTAGTGTTTGCTCATTGGTTCATTCATGAAGCCTATTGTCTTGCAGGCTACTGACCAACGACAGTGTAAACAATAAGGCGCTGTGGAAATTAAACCCGCAGACTTTTAATTTGATGGTATGATCTCTGTCATCACACGTGACTGGTCGCATGCACACACATCAACACAGCGATCATTATGTGTGCGCGGCCGAGCAGTGTGGAGAAAAAAGCACAGGAGAATGAGAGAAGGAAAAAAGGCAGAGCTGAGATGAAGAAAAGGCAGGAAGAAAGTGCCATTAAATGCTGTAAAATTACAGATATATTCATGATTATGGGACGCGTTGTTACTACTAGCAGAGTTGCCTTTATATCACATCAAATCGTCCTGTCACAACTACATTTCCAGAGTTGATTATTAAAATATAGAACTGTTTTAATAAAAGTTGTCATGCCATAGGAAAGCAGAAGATGCGTCTGTATGGGAATAATCTGGAAAAAAGACCCGTATACTCGTTTTGTATCTCTAGTTACTCAGAGTGACCACAGCTTTGTGATGATAAACATCAATCCAGTCAGAGCTCCTAGGGATTTAGTCCGATCAACTTCAGATTTCTGCAGTGCCTTCTAAAGGAATTGACGATGAAAAGTTGTGCTATCTGTAAGTTTTCGTCAATGGGCGTGTTCATTACTTGGCGTCCAAAATTGATGCTTCGTGAAACAGGAAGTTGTTTTAACGTCAGTGTGCATCCTCAGATCTGCACCAAATGGTACAAGTAGGATGAGAGTCCCGCCCTGAACACATCCATATGCATAACAAAACACAATGTCATAGTGCCACCTGCTGGCAACAGTAAGTGTCAAGTTTTATGCTGTTATGTACTACTCCCAACATATTTGCCTCACCTGCTTCAAAGAGTCTCAGAAGAGCCTTAAGACATTGATGATGCTATGTTGTGAATCTTGTGAGTTTTCGGATAACGGTGTGTCCGTGGTGTGGCGTCAAAGTTCAATGCTTCGCCATGACGCAGGAAGTTGTTGTAACTTCACTGTACATGCTCACATCTGAACAAAACTTTACGTGCTTGATAACTGTCCCACCTTACACATCTATACGTCTATATACATTTCTAGTCATAGCGCCACAAAGGGGACACAGGAAGTGACGTATAACACCTTCATGCAACGTCCGAAGTGCGTAGCAAATTCACAGCTATAGTAGTTCTTTATTGTGAACAAGTTAGCATAGCCCTGACCAATCCAAACTCAGAAAACAAACGTTTGTTTGAAAAGTTTTTGTCCTGCTGTCTTGCCGGCAGACCTGACAAAGCATGAATTCATGTGTTTAACAAAATGACATCATGTTGTAGTTATTTTGGCAACATTTTGATCTGTTTATTGCAATTAAATCACTGCAAAATGTTTTCTTTGGTTTCATACCACAGTAGTAATCGTGGGTTGTGTTTATTTGTATTACATTGTGTGTGGACACTCTGTAGTAGTCCAACAATAAAACTTACACGAGAGAAGCCTGCTGACGATTAATTTAAAGTTTGGTCAAAATGCACAGCCCCAAGAGAGAGTGTGAGAGTGTGTGTTTAATGTTTTTATATCCTGGTGTGAATGCACACTAACCGAAGGGGACTCGTGTTACTGTGGGGACAAAAACTGACGTTCCCACAGGTAGAGAGGCTTTTTGAAGGTTAAGACTTTGTTTTAATTCAATTCAATTTTCAATTCAATTTTATTTATATAGCGCCAAATCACAACAACAGTTATCTCACAGCGCTTTTCATAAAAGAGCAGGTCTAGACCGTACTCTGTGATGATATTTACAGAAGCCCAACAGTTCCCACCAAGAGCAGCACTAGGCGACAGAGGCAAGGAAAAACTTCCTTTTAAGAGGCAGAAACCTCAAGCAGAACCATGGCTCAGGGTGGGCGGCCATCTGCCTCGACCGGTTGGGGGTGAAGGAGAGAGAGAGAGAGAGAGAGAGAGAGAGAGAGAGAGAGAGAGAGCACAGGAGAGGAATAGAGAGAAAAAGAGGGATGTAAGGAGAGAGAGAGGGGAGGGAGGCAGCCTACACAATATACACACAGAGGTACAGACAGTGAAGGTGATGTTGCTATAGACTAAATGAAAAATGGTACAGATATTTATAATAGTGTTAATGGTAACAATGGTAATGGTTTTAGGGCTCAGGTTACAAATAGGTAAAGTTTAGGGTAAGAGGTTAGAGAATGCATTGTGTTAATGAGATGTCTCCATAACAGACGTGTTTGTGTGTGCGTGCGTCCCACCTAGCCTGGACAAACGAATGTGTGTAGGTCTCAGGGTAGTGCAGGTTGATTTTGATGAGTTGCGACAGCTCTGCAGAGGGCAGGACAACTGGGGGAGGCAGTTCTGATTTAAACTTGAGCAGCACCATTTCCTGCGCCTCCTGCAACACACATACACACACACACACACTTAAAGTTACAGTGCAGAACAGTTGCTCTGGATGAGGCCATAAAAAATAGTTACCGTCAATCAGTTTTCAAAATAAAACCCTACTGAAGCGTCACATCAGATTTTGAGAAATTTTTGGGTTTCAGTAAATAATAAGACTGAACGATTTTGGAAAATAATCTAATTGCAATTGCGATTTTTACCAATATTGCGATTAAGCAATAAATCAAGTGTATAGTATGACCAACACAATATTAGATAGATTAAACATATACTGTTCTTTCATGTAGGTCAGGCCTGTGTTAGGATGAAATTAGGTGATGCATGTATTGCATGAATTATTATTATGAGCAATAGTGGAGAAGAAATATCAAATTATAATAAAATGAGAAAGATAATTTGAGAGTCAAGTCATGGCATTAAATAATATGAGATTATATCATCAGGTAGGCCTACCTACAGCCCAGGAGAAAAACAAAGTTCACTACAGTAAGCGCTCAATACAAAACCCACAGTTCCTCCAAAAAAACTCCAAAATACTCAGTTTGAGGTTCATTTCAAAAGTTGGTCAACGAAAATAAAACCAAGTGACGCCTCTCATGTTTAAGACAAGCTTAGTAATTCTCCGACAACACCCGAGTTGCCCACCCTCCCAGCCTCCGATTCTGGTAAGCACTGGCTATAACTCGGAACAGACTGCGCCTCTTTCGGACTTGTGAGTTTGGTTTGAAACGCCATTACATAGATATTTCCTTAGCTGACTGGTGGCTGTGTGTGTGATGAAGGCGCCAATTGCCTCAATATTCTTACCTTACTACACCTGTATTTCTGTTATGTATTTTTTCTTTCCGTCAAAGCAGTAGATGACCTGACGAATTAAACCACCAACACCACCATGTTACCCGCAGGTGGTGGGGTGCCAATTTCATTCCCTGTGTGACTCTTAAGTTTCTGTAGTGCCAGCTTCTGTCAAGCTTAACACCACTGTACAACAAGTCAAGATAAATCGTAACGTACGAAGTTGATGCTTCCCCTGCAGACGGGTTTACTCTTGCGTGTCATGTGAGTAATTGCAACCTTTGCGATTAGAAAAATCGCGTTTTATCATATCGCAATAATATCGCAAATGCAATTAATCGTTCAGCCCTAGTAAATAATAGCACAGTCGGTCTAGCTTTTATGAAAAGCGCCTTGAGATAACTGTTGTTGTGATTTGGCGCTATATAAATAAAATTGAACTGAATTGAGTAATGATACTCATTTTGATTTATTTGGAAGACTGAAGTGAACCTTCTTTTTTTATTTTATCAATGTCTGTTGTCCACTGTGGATCCCACATCATCTTTCTGATGGCCTACTTTATTGTTTTCAACTTGTTTTTTTTTTTGTTTGTTTCTTTGTTTGTATTTTTAGGGAAAATACATATTATGTAGAACTTGGAGCATGTTTTGGATTTTAGATAAACCATTAAAGCATGTTCACTGAGTTACAGAGAAAGTGTATGTGTGTGCATACCGTACCTCTCTGGCAGTCAGAGAACTGGCCTCTTTGCCAATGGTCTGCAGCGCCACATGGAGTTGGCCCTCAAGGATCAGCTGTTTGTTGTCCTCAACCACATAGGCCTACACAGACAGACACATCACAAACTGGAGTTTTCCAATACTTGATACGAACTGGTATCTCACAGTCCTTCAAAATGAACGGTTACCATTACTTGACACTTATGAAATTCAGTGCATCAAATCATGTTTTCCAAACTGCTGGGTTGGATTTGCACTGATTTGCCAAAAGGGTTCTCTGATCTCTCAACAGTGCCCATCCCTGGCTCTACAGGTACAAATCACTTTTGTGCCACATTTCACTGATTTAAATGGCGCAAAAGTGAGAGCGTGCGGAACTTAAGACGGAAAAAATAGCATTTGAAACCAGTAGAACCAGATTCAAGTGTTTGTGCTAGTAAAATATCCAAGACATTTATTTTGTGAGAAATTATTCTACAGGCGTACGACTCTCATGGCATGAATTCACATACTGATTTTTGCCTGTGCACATTTTTTCCATGACTTCTGCAGCAGCTGTAGCAAAAATGTAAGCATATGAGTTTCTTCATTTGTGTTTCTAAAAAATAATTTGTGCCTAGAATGAAGAATTTACAGTGGGTACGGAAAGTATTCAGACCCCTTTAAATTTTTCACTCTTTGTTTCATTGCAGCCATTTTCCAAAAATCAAAAAAGTTCATTTTATTTCTCAGTAATGTACACTCAGCACCCCATCTTGACAGAAAAAAACAGAAATGTAGAAATTTTTGCAAATTTATTAAAAAAGAAAAACTGAAATATCACATGGTCATAAGTATTCAGACCCTTTGCTCAGTATTTAGTAGAAGCACCCTTTTGATCTAATACAGCCATGAGTCGTTTTGGGAAAGATGCAACAGGTTTTTCACATCTGGATTTGGGTATCCTCTGCCATTCCTCCTTGCAGATCCTCTCCAGTTCTGTCAGGTTGGATGGTAAACGTTGGTGGACAGCCATTTTCAGGTCTCTCCAGAGATGCTCAATTGGGTTTAAGTCAGGGCTCTGGCTGGGCCATTCAAGAACAGCCACGGAGTTGTTGTGAAGCCACTCCTTCGTTATTTTAGCGGTGTGCTTAGGGTCATTGTCTTGTTGGAAGGTAAACCTTCGGCCCAGTCTGAGGTCCAGAGCACTCTGGAAAAGGTTTTCGTCCAGGATATCCCTGTACTTGGCCGCATTCATCTTTCCCTCGATTGCAACCAACCAGTCGTCCTGTCCCTGCAGCTGAAAAACACCCCCACAGCATGATGCTGCCACCACCATGCTTCACTGTTGAGACTGTATTGGACAGGTGATGAGCAGTGCCTGGTTTTCTCCACACATACCGCTTAGAATTAAGGCCAAAAAGTTCTATCTTGGTCTCATCAGACCAGAGGATCTTATTTATCACCATCTTGGAGTCCTTCAGGTGTTTTTTTTTAGCAAACTCCATGCGGGCTTTCATGCGTCTTGCACTGAGGAGAGGTTTCCGTCGGGCCACTCTGCCATAAAGCCCCGACTGGTGGATTGCTGCAGTGATGGTTGACTTACTACAACTTTCTCCCATCTCCTGACTGCATCTCTGAAACTCAGCCACAGTGACCTTTGGGTTCTTCTTTCAAGTGCAGCAGAAATTTTTTTGTAACCTTGGCCAGATCTGTGCCTTGCCACAATTCTGTCTCTGAGCTCTTCAGGCAGTTCCTTTGACCTCATGATTCTCATTTGCTCTGACATGCACTGTGAGCTGTAAGGTCTTATATAGACAGGTGTGTGGCTTTCCTAATCAAGTCCAATCAGTATAATCAAACACAGCTGGACTCAAATGAAGGTGTAGAACCATCTCAAGGATGATCAGAAGAAACAGACAGCACCTGAGTTAAATATGAGTGTCACGGCAAAGGGTCTGAATACTTATGACCATGTGATATTTCAGTTTTTCTTTTTTAATAAATTTGCAAAGATTTCTACATTTCTGTTTTTTCCTGTCAAGATGGGGTGCTGAGTGTACATTACTGAGAAATATAATTTTGGAAAATGGCTGCAATGAAACAAAGAGTGAAAAATTTAAAGGGGTCTGAATACTTTCCGTACCCACTGTAACTATTGTATTAGTGGGAGAGGAAAACTCTTCTACAAGTTTGCAACTCCTAAACTATTTTTCTGTAACTTCAAATTTACTGATACACATGTGACTATTTTCTCTAACTACAAATTCCACTGCCACAGGTACTCAATTGTTTTGCTCCAATAATACCTTCATAGTTTTTGGTTAGATCTAAAGGTTATGTCTTGTCCATGGTCTATATCACAACAACTATATCAAGAAGGGAGTCCAACATAATCAGGCTCTCTGACTTATCGAGCTTCTCTAAGCCTGACACTATGTCATGGAGCTGGTTAAGATCTGGCTCTGTTGAGTACCTTCCAGATGACGATTATGTTGAGGTCCAGCTCATTACATTTCTTGACAATGTGGGTGATGTCAGAGTCTCTGTCCTCATTGATGAGAGTCTTGCTGCTGGAGGATGTCCTGGATGATGCCACATATACTCGCTGAGACTCTGAGGTCCGACAACCACGGAAGAAGAAATCTCCACAGGGTGTGGAAGAACTGATTATCTGCATAGAGACAGTAGCAAGGTGAGGAAAATAGTACCCGATTTGGGTAGACAAAGAGAGCAGAAAATACATGACCAAGGAATGCCAGGTTGTTGACTTCCCTTAACTAACTTTCCCCTACAGTCAGTGCACTGCCCCAGATTTTATAACACCAGCCACACAGACAAAAATTACTGATAAAGTTGCATTAAGTAGTAATATTATTAGTCAGTGCACCCATATGCCACTGCTTTATCATGTGAATCTTTTGACTTGATCTTTTTTTTTGACTTTACTGTTCCAGAGGGAGATTTGTTTCACAGTCAGTTCCAACACTGAATACATAATTGCGCTACAGAGAAGGTAGTTAATTATAGCTTTAATTTAGTCTGACAAAGTAACACACACCAGAGGTATCCACACTGCCTTATTTTCCAGGATTATTATGCCAATACGCCGGCTCGCTGCGCTGCATTAAAGGTACAGAGCTAGAAAGGTGGGTCAGATTTTATCCGACTGAGCCGGGAATGTTCACCAGGACCTGCCCTCAACTGGCACCGACTTATCACTAAATTCAAGATCTTTGGAAACAGCTATAAAACCTGATATTTATTTAGCCTGCTTTGCTTCCCTCGATCTTTATCAACTAACTTCAATAATTTCTTCATCCAACCATCAACCTGCCTCTTAAACCGAGTCAGCTGCTGCCCCCGTGTTCATGCTCGACACCTTCTGTTGCAATTATTGTTACTAGTCCTATTGTTATTATCATTAACATTACGATTATTATCATAAACATTATTATAAATATCTGTACCATTATTGATTCAGTCTGTACCAACGTCACCTTTACGGTCTGTACTTCTGTGTGTAGGCTGCTCCCCACCTACCCCTCCATCCCACTCTCCCTCTTTATGGCTGTCTCTTCCTCTCTCCTTCACCCCCAGTCGAGGCAGATATCCGCCCACCCTTTCTGCCTTTTAAAAGGAAGTTTTTCCTTGCCTCTGACACCTAGTGCTTGTTCTTGGTGGGAATTGTTGGGTTTCTGTAAATATTATCAGAGTACGGTCGAGACCTGCTCTTTTATGAAAAGCACTATGTGACTGTTGTTGTGATTTGGCACTATATAAATAAAATTGAATTGAATTTCACTTTACCCGTTCATTTCCCAGATTCAGGTCTGCAAAGGTGTATTTTTCCACGGCATCCGAGGTATCTGTAAACAAGAGACAAAACACAGCCAAATTAGTGCTTAATAAAATCTAACCAAAGCACAATCATGTGTTTGTTTTAACAGTATGAATTACCTTGGTGGGGCCTGCATCGTGTGGCCCTGAAACACAGCTTGGCTCTTTCTCTGCTGGTGAGTTTACAGTCTGGACAGGGAGAGGGCAGAGAGAGAGAGAAGCTGTGACTAATACTAACATCAAACAGGTTTGTCTTGGGAAAAATATCAGGCGTAAGCTCTGTATAGATAGAATGACATAGTGCCATTTTTCTTAAGTGCATGTAGCAGTAACACTGGAATGGCCTATTGCTAAGTATACATTTAGATACACAACCTCTGGTAATCACATCACCAAGGTTCGATGACACATTAGCCAGTTCCATTTATTCATGAAGGTCATGAGATATGGCTAAAAGTTCCAAAAGTAATAATAGATAAGTGTTACTTTGAGTTGAGAGGCAACTTTTTTCTGGACACATCCAAGAACAGGTATGTGGGAGAGATTCTGAATGTGCAGAAAGCCTTGAGCATGAGCAGAAAACCTGCTGAAACAGGAGCTATTAAAGGCCAGGAGTTTATAACTGAATTAGTATGAATTCATTTGTCATTGAGGTGAAAAGGTGCCACATGCACATTTAAAGAGGTTAATTCACCAAAGACAAAAAAGAGGAGGAAGACTAAATCATGTGCTGCCTCAGCATTTAGTTAATTAAATTAGAAATTATCATATTTATATTGCTTTTTTGTTATATAAAAGCAATATATTTTATATTTTCTATAAAAGTAATGGCTACAGAATGCTTGAAAGCCTTACTGTTTTATATTCAATACATTTGTTATATTTTGAAGTGTCACCTGCCACCAGAATATTGTGTTTCCCTTTATATAGATCATTTCCTGCATTCTGGTGAAAATTAAGTCTTTAATGCTTAAAGCCTTCCTCCAGTGTATTTTGACGTTTCTATGATTTTTCATATTTTTCTGAGTCATTTCCATACAATGCTGATTAGCCACACCGTTTGCCAAATATATACTGTTTTCTTGCATTGTAGAGAATTATGGAGTAATTTTCTTGAAAGTCCAGAGCATTGGTTGGAGGGGACACAAGTGAAGAGGAGGGTCTGGGGGTCCTTCCCCACAAAATTCTGCGGCCTTCCTACAGGCAGTTTACACTGACATTTTTGGTTAACGTTCTTTCTCAAACAATTAATGGGGGTGGGGTTAATAGTTGGACGTAATCAATTACCATGGCAACCTGAAACTGACCGTCTGTATCTGAGTGTTGGCTAATGATACGCTGTATTAACATCACAACACTTCAAAGTTTGTGGAATCTGGCTTCAGCAAAATTATTGGTCGTCTAATACTGGCTGGAGTATCCATTTACTTACCCATAATAAAAACTAATGTGCGAGTATCAGCTTTACGTTTTATGGTGCTCTTACTTTTACCCTGGGGGGAGGGGAAATCTATTACTGTAGTTGTTGAACTGTGCTATTTTGTGTACAGTTAGAATAAAATAGTATACTTGATGATACGTACTTCATCTGGTTGACACTAAATAAAATTAATAATTTTATGCAGTTGTTATCATAAATACATTGTACTGATGATGCAGACTTGTATTAACTGTTACGCATGTCTTACATAAACTACCTATGTATTTTAATATTTATGAACTGCAATTAAGACCATAAGACACATCAATTACAAATGTAAAACACCAAAACACCAGATTGGAACTTTTTAAAATATGTATATGGATGTATTAAATGTGTATGGTCAAAATAAAAAAATGGCCCATTTAAAACTAGAAAACACTTCAGAGCAAACCAAAGCTGTCCAATTAAGATTTAATTAATAGAAAATAGTTTAATTAACATCTACTGGTTCTACATGAAAATACACACTGAACATTCTTTAAACTGAGTATAGTGACAATTTTCAAAATACTATCTTGCAATGTTGAGAACAAAAAAAGTCATACAACAAGCGTGCCACAGACCTATTTGTTTACCTGATATCATCTAAATCTCTTTTTAGATAGGTTTTAAGATTTTTCACAAATGGACACATGTGAGTATGTCTTGTGTCTTGCTGTGGATAATATTAATTGTAGGAGTGATCTGGCTTTGCCTTGATTTATAACTCAACCTGAAAACCGGGAACCAAGACATTTGTGCTGATTTCACATTACTGTCTTGTTTTAAACCGTTAACTAATCAAGGCAGTCTGCCTAATCCATCTGCAATTTATTATTGACCATGATTAGTTCCATTAGTGTCTGGGCTGCTTGTATCTGTAGCTGGCTGTACATCTCTGGTTGTGCTCGTACTGGCTAAGGCTGCTCGTGTTTCACCTGGGTCTGTGCTAGTACTGTGTGAGGCTGGATGTGGATAAACTGTGCTTGTACTGGCTGATGATTCCACATCTATTCTACTGAGTTGTGGCTGCACATTATCATTCGCTATCAACCTTGACATGAGAGTGAGGTGGGGCCTTCCAGCTCTGCGCGAGAGTGACTTGATTACTGTCATTGTGTATGCCGGTGTCTCATCAGCTGGGCAAAGTTGATTTGCGCAAAGTCTGCTTTATCAGTTTTACATCTGTTTTTCATTGCTGCTCCATTCAGGTGCACTGCATAATACTGCTTTAACGAGGTCTCGTGCAGAATGTAAGTCATGTGAAGGACAAGGTAAGAAGGCAGCATTTGTGTTATGCCAATTGTTTAAACATCTGTTGATAAGCAGGCTGTCATTTCACGAGCTACAGCTACGTATTTAATAGATCAAAGCAGAACAGCAAAAGGATAAATACCCAAGAATTCCTGGCAATGACATGAGTGAGGGAGAATCCAATGGGGGAGGGATAATGGTGATTTGTGTGTAAGCCATTGCCTGTTTTTGTGTGTGTGAGTGAGAGAAAAAGAGAGAGCGCTCTGTCTTTATTCTCATAGCGTAGGTCAACTGAAGCAAGTTATTGTTACTTTGTTACATCTAGGCTAGTAGACCCAGCAATAAAAGAGAAATATTTATTGCAGGGTTTAAGCAATCGGATATTGAACTGGGGAAGAGCAATATTCAGTATAAACTGCAGCTCATTTGTTCACCTGGCTGTTTTTATCATTTATATATAATGAAAGGTTCTGTTAAAATGGAGAGTTCAGCTGTGCTCACCACTCACGCTACATACAGCTGTGTACACACACATCCACCCACACACACACACCCACCCACACACAAAAAGGATAGATTAAAAATAGACCATAGGAGAAATGAAGCAAAGACGACTCAGTGTGCCATACACACCTTTATCCTTGGCTGGGTTGATACACTTGTGGAGGCGCCAGTGCTGACTGCTGCTGGACACCTGGATGATGTGGAACTCACGCACACCAGCTTCACTCTGGGAAGAGAATGCAGATTAAAACAAAGTTTGGGCAGATAGGTTGTTCAGATGGAAAAAAGCAAAAAGCTGCACACTTTAAGTATGTACTGGAGGAGTGTGGCATGCTGTGTATCTCACCGTATTAATGTTCTCCACATCAATAAAGACCAGTGTTCCACCGCTGCCTTTGTCATCCTGACTTTGATGTGGAGGAACACTGCTGCGGCAGGCCACCGCCTGCACACTCAGAGAGCGACTGGCACAGATAAACACTGTGTGACGCAACACCCGATGACTTCATATGAAGAGAGAGGAGGAAGAGTTATCTGTGAAAATGTGTTTACCATGTTTGATGTTTACAATTAAACACTGGGGTGGACGATGACATCGGGGGGGTGGGCACAGGACCATTTCTACTGGCACAATGCAGGTATTATCTGCATTTATATTTAATGATTCTGATTGTGAATTTGTTATTGAATAACCCAGAATATAATCATGTTGTCTTGGTGGATTCATTAGTCTAAATGTGTCAGGGAAATTGAAATGATGTAACTCATAATAAAGTCAGGGCTCAGTTTTAGGATTTCCATTTATTTCCTCTTCTGATATGCTTTACTGCATACATTTTATTTGCAAGTCACATCGATCACTGCGTTCCATCATATCAATCCAACGTTTTTTTTTGCTAAGCAGCTTTCATTCATTCTTTCATCAGCTGATTTTACTTGCGGAGCCGCCGGCTACTTTCAGCAGTAGGTGAGATGGCTGGATGTGCAGGCTTTCTTTCCCTTTGCTTGCTTCATTAGAGAATTTAGTGCAGTTTAGTGACTTGTCCGACTCCTTAGACATGTGTTTAAAACACAGGACCAGCCTCACATGTGACTGAATAGAAATGACCATACATTCTGTAAAACATGTTTCTTACGGACAGACCGACAGCCAGACTCTCTGACTTTAACTGTCTCCATAGTAAAGTTGATGGGAGAAATAAAAGAAAGAAAACTTTCTAATAAATGAAGAAAGTTGTGTGTGGGGCTTTTTGTTCAGACCTACAATGAACTCTAAGTGCACTGAGTGCACTTGAGTTTAATGTTATCGGTCATGATTTATCAGATCATTCCGATCAACTGCAGCTTCAATTTCAAATGAATTTAACGGCCACCCAATACGGGGGCGTGTCGATTAGTAAAAGACTTCCGAGAAGGATGCACTGGTGTGTCCTCGCTCATTGCTCCTCGATCCTTGGAGCACGAATAAGAGCTTTGGGACGGCCTGCAAGTTGGTGGAGAGGAGCAACTTCCGGTTCAAGCGAGGAGCGAGGAAACGATAAATAAGAGACTTGAGAAGCACCCTTAGAGTTTAAGAGTCTGATAGCTTGGAGGAAAAAGCTGCTCTGCAGTCTGGTGGTATGGCAGCGGAAACTTCTATCTCTCTTCCCAGAAGGCAGCAGGGTGAACAGGCATTCAACAGGAGACAAATCTGGACTGGTGGCAGGCCAGTCAGATTTGTCTAGACATGCACTCTGTGTCTACAAAGCCACGCTGCTATAGCCTGGATAGAATGAGGCCTAGCAATGAAATCCAGAAATAAGCATAGATGTCCCCGGATGGCAACATATGTCTCTCTAAAATCCGAATATATGCCTCTGAGTCAGTGGTACCTTCACACACATGCAGCTCACAAGTGCTGTGGGCACTGATGCACCCCCATACCATCACAGATGCTAGCTTTTGCACCTTTTGCTGATAACAATCTGGATGGTCTCTTATCTTCGGCACAGAGAACTCGACGTCCATTTTTCCTGAAAACAAGCTGAAATGTGGACTTATCTGACCACAGCACATGGTTTCCACTGTTTTTCAGTCCATCAAGGGGACATCCCGCCAGCGATTCTGCATACAATTGATGTTTGGCTTCCTCCTAGCGTAATACAGCCTCAGGTTGCATTTCTGGAGCGGCAGCGGCAGACTGTGTTAAATGACAACGGATTTCCAAAGTACAGCCGAGCCCATGTGGCTATATTTGTCACAGAAGCATGACACTTTCTTAGGCAGTGTTGTGACGGCTTAAAGGTCACGCACTTTCAGCAGTGGTTTCTTACCTTGTCCTTCACATACTGAGATGTCTCTAAATTCCCTGAATCTTTTTACAATATTATGTACGGCTGAGAAAGATCTAACTCCTCTGCAACCCTGCGTTGTGAAATGTTCCCTTTGAACTGACCAACAATTTTCTCAATTTTGGCACATAGAGGTGAGCCATGACCAATCCTTACTTGCAAAGACTTTGTTGGAAGCTATTTTTATATCCAATCATGACACCTCATCAGTTACTAATTAGACTGCTTGTTGTGGATTCTTCCAAACAGGTGTTACTTGAATTACTTCTGTATACTTTACTATTGTTTGTGCACTTATTTTGACTCTGTCCCAACTTTTGTTGAGTCTGTTGCAGGCATGAAATTCTAACTTTGTTTATATTTCCAAAAAAACAACACAATTACACTGATCAGTAAAACTACTGAAAATCTTTTCTTTATACTTTTGTCAGTTAAATAAAGGTTCACATGAATTAACAAATCCCAGTTTTTTGTTTTTATTGTATTTTGGAAAATATCCCAACTCTGGAAATGGGGTTTGTATATGAGTTTTTCCTTTTTGATACAGGCTGCTAATGTTGATGCTAAAATTAGTAGTTTGTATCTTTACAACATAATGCATGCCTTCAAGCCAATTCAACTCTCTTCAGATTACCTAAATGTTTACCTGATTTTGATTCCTTTCTCCGTGCTTTCATAGTAGAACAAGAAGTTGATTTCATGGACTCCCTCCTGGTCTGGTCCTCTGAGCCAGAGAGGCAGCTGGGTGGACTCCCCCGGTTGCAGCGTGCTGCCATGTATTGGGATCTCCATCACACTGGACGGCTGGCTGAAGTCCTCAGCTGAAACCAAAATCTCAGATGCCACTGAGCCTGGCTGGGGGTGTGTGGCTAAGGTTTTATAGGCCGAGCAGTTTTCAGCTGAGGTCGGTGTGAGGGGTGTTGTGGCATGGCTACCAAAAGTGAAGAAATCAGGGTGTGTGGATGCCACTCGAAGTCCGCACAAAGCAACACTGCTGACATTACAGAACTCAACATAGGCCTTCCTGATCTCACCACACAGCAGAGCAGTGGGAAACTGCAAGAAGAAGACCTGATTTACACACACACACACACACACACACACACACACACACACACACACACACACACACACACACGTTGACAAACAGGCAGCATTGGCATAACTGCATAACCTTTTTATTTATTTTAGCATTTTCTATTTATAGTGTCAAAGAAGATTTGTTTTGTTTGTTTTACTACTATGGCTACGGCTTTGTCTTTTATTGTAAAGCACTGCTTTTTACTTTACTTTACCTCATGCTGCTATTCAGCCTGAGGCAGTGGCTCACTACATTTCTGACTGACATTAAACTCTTTTCAAAGTAGAAATGCTGCACAGGCAGTGATTTGTGTTTGTGACACGTAGTTGTAGTTTCAATAGCTTAACGTAAGTAGCTGATGATATGGCAGCTCGGTATTTGAATTTACATTAATTAAAGAAAAACTGCAGTTAAATGAATAGTTCGACATCATGGGAAATATGTTAATTTGCTTTCTTGCCCCGAGTTCGATGAGAAGATGATACCACTCTCATCCCAGTGGTAAATATGAAGCTAGAGCCAGGAGATGGTTAGCTTTATGATGATGTGATTTTGGCTTGTTTATTTTGTGCATCTTTATTTGAGTCATCTTGTGCCACTTCACCTCCTTTTCATTTCCCAGGAAAATGTTTAATGCCTTCTATTACATATGTTGAGCAGCCTAATTGTAAAAGTCTCTGGTGCATTTGAATAGCAGCGGAATCAAATGTTTTGGAATAACTATCACACCATTGTTATTCCTTTTCTGAGTTTGCCCGTCTCACAGAAATCCCCACCACTGAACTGTACCTATGAGAGACACCATAACAAGGACAGCTGAGATGAATGCTTCATTTTCTTGATGGAGAGCTAATCAGCAGTCAGAAATATTGAAAGTGAAATTGCATGCCTTATTATGCAGTTGTTTTATGTAGGGAAATGTCAGAAGTAAATTGCATTTAATGACAGTATCAGCACATACTCAACATTAAATCATTCAGACTGTGTTTGAGGCAATAAAAATCTGTTCCATAGTCTCTAGATTTGGCATTGCAGGATGAGTGTCTCTACAGTCAGTAGTCAATCGTACCTCCATTAGGGGCATGGGTGGTGTTATGATGGGATCCAGGCGTCGATCAGGACCATGTCGAACCAACATCTTGTCCTCTTTGGTCTGGTTGAGTCTTGGGCCCTGGATCTTTAAGTCCTGTCTGCCCCGAACCACCATCAGATCAAAAGTCTGCTGGCCTGTGGACCAGAGGAAATCCACACTTTTATTGCGGCAGTAAAGCACAAAACCTCCCGAATGGTCCATCACTGGGATTTTTGTTTTCTTTCATAAATATTTTCTCTAAAAAATTGTACCTGACAAAAAGATAGTTGAAAAAGTAACAGTTCCTTTCACATTGTTCTTGATCCTAAGACAGTAATTCCATTAAAGGGATGGTTTGGGTTTTTTGAAGTGGGGCTGTATTAGACACTTATCAACAGTCAGTAAATAGCAGTTAGCATGTCCCAATTTGGAGAAGAAGAGAGTTGTACTGGCATGGAAGCTAAGCAATGTACAGCTGTGGACAGGGTCAGCACCGGAAAAAAATATACGTTCACTATATTTAGAATATATTTTAGCACTGTACCTTGCCATCAAACACCTATTTCCTTTATACAGCATGCAGCTAAGTTGCGCTTATGCGTTGGAGAACTGAAGAAAATGTAGTTCCAAAGGAAAGTGCTGTCTGATAGCAAGGATTAGAGCTCAATATATTCTAAATATAATGTCATTGTTTTAGTGAGCCTTCTTTTAGGGGGCTAAAATACGTTTTGCTGCCAACCCTGTCCACAGCAGTACATTGCTTAGCTTCTCTACTTAACTCTTTCTTTCTCCAAACTCAGGACCCGCCAGCCGCCACCTACTGCAGGTAATTCACTGACTGTGGATAAGTACCTCATATAATACCACTTAAAAAAACCTGAACTATCCCTTCAGGAAGAAAAATTACAAAGAAATTACAAATTAAATTACGACATACAGCATCTACTGACACAGAAATGAGTATGAACTGATACTAAAGCAACCGACAATAAAAGCAAATATCAGCAGACACATCTGTATGCCTCACCCTCAGTGCTGGGAGCCATCTGTCCAGAGGAGGCTGCAGCCAGGTTGTACACTACACCCACAATGTTCAGCTGGCCAGTTCTATGTGGCAGCAGCCTGAGCCGAGCCTGAGATCAAATGTCACAGGGACCGTTAGCAGCAACATAACTACATTTTTGTTCAGCCTGATGTATCTTATGTATCTTAGGAGCCAAAGAATGTCCAGTTCTGATAATTACTTGCTGGAGATTTCCAAGAGTTGCTCTTTATGCATTTCTATTCCAGATGTAAGCAGATATATGAGCATCTGGGGTGCACGCACACAGCACAAACAGACAACACACAGACACACACACACACACACACACAGATGTGCGCTCAGGAGTAACCAGTTTTACTGTCTACTTTCTGCATTAACCAAATTTCCTAACCTTTGTATATACAAGAAACCTAATTTTCTAACTGGGGAAGGAATTCGAGAAGCCTGATTCCCCTGCTAGATTTCTTCTGGAGAAAGCGGAATTGTTGGCCAGGTACTATGTACTCTGGATTCTATGTGACTTTTTAAAAGTGAGCATGTACCGATAGAGTTCAGACATGGATAATACTGCTGACCTGCTGCATCTAAATGCAAAATTTACAGTAACCATGCGTGGAGGTGGGCATGGTTGGCAGCTGCAGACGGGAGAGGTGGGGGAGCAAAGCCTGGGAGAGCAAATTGTTGCAGCTGTTCATTAACTAATTACACTCTCCATCTAAATGCGGTAGTGTGATGGACCTAAGGCATCTGCCAGCCTGCCTGTGACACACAAGCATTCAAGAACTGCTGTGGGGGGCTGAAGGGGCTGTGGGACTGTATGAGAAATATTGTTTATATTGAAGACGCTACGGAAGAGGACAGGGCAGGCAAGCAAGCCAGGAAGCCAGAAGCTGGTCTGTACAGGAAAATTTATGATGGAACTCTGTGCAGGGCAACTACAGTAGCAGCTACACCATGTTACTACTGTGCACACAAACATAGTCCAATTTCCCCTATAAAGTGATCCTGTGAGTGACCTAGTTCCTTGAATGCATGAAAACGTATGGAGTCTGTAAGTCGCTAAAGTCGGAAATTTTCAGACATGGCCAGACAGTTTTATTGAACAGCATACCAGCTTATTTGACATGATTGTTTAACAAGCAATTGAGGATTATGTTTTCAACCATTCTAGCCAGTTGTTGCTGGGGATTTGATACTTCATCAGGCTGATGATCCCTGCTCCACTTGTGCCACTAAATCCATAAGACAAAACTTATGGATCCTAAAGCTGAGGGTAGGCAGTTAATTTTAGAAGCATTTGTTGAAATTCTCCTTACATCTTGACAGAAATCAATAAATCAAAGGCTCTGACATAGAATACAGTGGGCGGCAGGTGCGTTTCTTTAGGATAATTTCAGAAAAATTTCTAGTATCACTGGCTAGCTCAGTTGGTAGAGCACAGAACTCGTAATCCAAGGATTGCGTGTTCGACTTCCCCTCTAATTAATTTTTGTTTCTTATCATCCTCATCACCTCTTCAACAAAGTTGTTATGAAGACAGTCAGGGGAATCCAATCATACATTTCCAAACGTAAAATATTCTGAAAGAGCCATCAGGAAATGTGTAACGTTAAATACGTAGATTCCCCTGAATGAGAGGTGCAGGAATATCCTCTGCCTGGGAATGATGGTAAAATTCCATAGGTTGATGGATGTGGACAATCCCTAGAACGCACACAGTCTAGCATGTGCTTTATTGTGAGCATGTGAAAGAGTCTCGTAAAATCTTTGTGGAAGAGGATTATAAAAAAGGTAAAGGAAATAAAATGGTCTTCTGTGAGGATTGAACACGCAACCGTTTGAGAGTTAGTCTTGTGCTCTACCAACTGAGCTAACCAGTGACACTGAAAACCCCTTTGAAATTATCACTGACAAACGTTCCTTCCGAGCCATGTGTTAAACTACTGTTTTGTTATTTTGAGTTCCCGAGGAAATTACTGCGTTATCACGGAAAAACAACATTAGTTATCTCGAGATCTCAAGATAATTACCCTGTTATCATGGGAAAACAGAGTAAGAATAATATCTGCATGGATGGCGGTTCAGTAGAAAACCGTAACATCTTCAGTTGGCCACTAAAAGGAACAACTAAGTGTCTTAAGGACAATGTGGAGTGGATGGCCTACAAGATCCATGATATTCTTTAGTTTGGCATTCGTTCTCTTTCATAAGATGACCTCCACTGAATTAGGGGTAAGGCCAATCACAAAGCCAGCTTTTTTAAATCAACTTATTGATCCTATTTTTATCATCACTAGTAATGCTGCCTCCACAACAAAAGAACACTGGCTATAGTGCCTTGATAAAAGTATAAAGCAAATTCTGCTCACATCAAAGGATCTTCATTTCCTTAGGAAAAACAGCCATGACTGGGCCTAATTTGCTATCAAGGCAAACACCAAGATATTCATATGTTGAGACAAATTCGATTTGCTGATCTATGATGATCACAGGAAGAACCTACTCCTTCCTCCTATAATCAATAATGCAGCTTTGTTTTACCAACATTTAGTTGTAAAAAGTTTGACTCCAATTCACAAAAGAGGCAACTTCATTATTACAGGCCTGGTCATCAACTCTATTAAGAAGACCAACAAGGGCAGTGTCATCAGAAAATTTCTGAAAGTGGCAATACACCTTAATATGCCCGTAATCAGCGGTGTAGAGGGTGAATAAAAAAGGGGATAAAACTGTGCCCTGTGGTGCTCCTGTTTTGTGATGGGATGTAACAGGAGCTTATCTAAAATCCAGGAGTAGTGGTGTTGTGTAATTTAAAATAAATTAATTTTTGGGCTAAAATGTGTGGTGAAGAGTGTTAAAAGCACTAGAAAAATCAAAAAACATAATCATGAAAAGTGAACTGGCCATTGATTCAAGATTACTATAAAAGCTATGCAGCATAAAATGAGAGTGTCGTTAACTCCTTTACCCCTCCTATATGCAAAATGCAAAGGATCTTGAAAGGCCGACACTTGTTTAGACAAGTGACCTAGGATTTCATGATATGCAAAGTAAGCGCTATGGGGTGAAAGTTAATAACGTCACAACAGGACACATTACTTTTTTTGGGAATTGGTACAAGGCAAGAAGTTTTCCATATCACTGGAATTTTTGATGATGACAATGAGAAGATGAAGTACTGAACACAACTGGTCGGCACAGACTTTCAGGGTGCGGGGATCCAGTCTGGCTGCTTTATTATGTTTGAGAAGTTTCAGCAGCTGTCGGACGGCGTCAAAATTAATAGAATAGAAGAATAGAATAGAAGATAGCTGGGCTACTGACCTCCTGACCACATGATGCCAGAGATGAAAGAATGCTCTTGTGAGCAGCAGAAAAGTCAAGGTAATGAAACCTAGCAAAGAAATGATTTGCTTCATCAACATTAATCCCAGAGCTGAGGGGGCTCCTATTACTGGTTCCATAGCCAGTAATGGATTTCATACCATCCCAGAGGGACCCGAGTATTTCTAATTGACATCTGTCCCTCCACCTTACCCTATGTTTTTAGTTGCCCTGTCTGATTGTTTTTAGCTCTTTGAGCAATTTTAATTTTGTCTTCATCCTTGAAAAGAAGCTCTCCTTAATGTTCGTATAGAACAGATCAAGTTTTGTCATGCATGCATAATAATTTAAAAAAATTAAGCATTCTTTTCAGTTGGGTACTTTCAAAATCTAGCTGTCTATAGTATCGCCAACCCCTCCTGGAGAGATACCCCTCCAGGAGGGATTGGCGATACTAGAGACAGCTCATTGTAGCACATACTCGCTTTACACTTAGCAGTTTTTAGCTGTATTTCTACAGTATTCCTGTGTAAGTACATTGAGACCAACGAAGAACCGGAGTCACATTCTTTTTATGTGTACACCGACTAGACCAATAATAGCTGATTCTGATTGGTCAAACACCCCCACTTACCTTCAGAGAGTCAAGTGAGCACCTTACCATTTTGGTCTCCTCTGGACCCATATGAAACTCCAGGATTACCTCAGTGGTGACAATATCATCTTTCTGTGTCATCTGCAAAAGTAAACAGATATTGAAGACACCATGACAAAAAGAAGAGATCATGAAAATCGTAGTTTGGGTTTTTGTTGCATCTATCCATCATAGCTGAATAAAAAGCACAATCTTTAAGAGGAAATCTGTCTACTCCGCCCACCCCTGGAGTCATGGTCTCCTCATTGGTGATGGCCTCTCCTGCCAACTCTTCAGTGGTCTTCTCCTTCAATGGAGACACACCATCGGCAGTGAACCTCCAGAGGAGTGAGAGGTTGGACAGAGCCAGAGAAACCTTCAGAGGGTTCCTAAACATCACCTCCACTATGATTGGCTCTGCAGGACAAAGACAGAAAGAGGGTATACTGAGCAGGCACAATTCAGTTCAATTTGATTAGATAGTGATGGGGTGGCATATTTTTTTATACTATGACAAGCATTCTTTAAAGAGGTGGTATTATGCTTTTTCCCTCTCCTTTATTGAGTTCTACACCTTTTTTGTGGTAATAGGTTTGCAAAGCGAAAAAGCCCGAAGTCCAGCCCAAAGGGACTTCCCATCTCCCACAGAAAACTCTGCTCTGAACTGCCTGAAACAGCTTGTTTGCAGTCCAGCTGTTTCCCTTTCATCCCTGAGCTAAATGCGCCTCCTATAACACTCGCCAAGCATTAGTCTGACACGCCATCAAAAACACAGTGGAAAAACTCTGAGCTGCAGCACACACGTCCTCTCGCTTCCAAACACTAGCTACCCTCCAGGCAGTCAGTGGACATGAAGTTGTTACTGTGATGTAGAGACAGAGCTCAGTTAAAACTTTATGGATGAAAAATACTTTTGTTACAGATTAATAACTCACCACTCTGAACTCTTGCTCCAGTCTGTGTTGCCAAGCTGGTCGGCAACATGTAGCCTCCAGCTGAATGTAAGCTGCTTACGGGCTTCTCGCTGACCCACCCTTCTCTACTTCTGATTGGCTATTAGTCTTTAATTAGGAACTGCGCATGTGCAACTCCCAAAAAAGATCATTTAGAGACAAGATGAATCACTCCATAGCTTAAACGAAGCCTTTAACACAGGGTGAAAAGAGGAGCTACAGCAATGTGCAGTATGAAAAAAATATGGTGTTTTTCTGTTATTTAACCATATAAACCTGTTCTGGTACAACCCCTAATAGGATTTTGAACCTGAAAATGAGCATAATACCACCTCTTTAAAACAATATGTCGGAACACCAAAATACCTAGTACATAGTTCCAGAGTATTTCTAAATAATAGCCTAGGTACCATTAAAATAAAGTTTCACTGTGCCTGCTGATGTCCTCTTACCCTCTACTACAGCTAGTGGGTGGCGCAAGTTGTCTGTCTGGCTGTTCAGGCACTGGGTGGGCTGGAAGTTTACAGGGATGGCCCCATGATTGGCGGCAGCCACAAGCTGCTCCTCTAGTGGCACCACACAGCTGCCAAATCCTGGTCATATTCCTGGTCTAGGGACACATGAGTTGCTGCCTGCTTTTCCCCTACGCACATCAGACATAAATTAAGTGAAAAACAGATAATTAGTTTTTATATTTAATGTAAATAATAAAGTCTTTCCTTAAAAACAGCCAAAGGCATTGTGGAAAACAGAGAAAATATTTTACTGTATTTTACTTTTATGTTTAAATATATTAACCATTTACTGACTTTTGCAGACTACCGTTGGATATAGCTAGACGGGAACACAGTTAACATGTATGTATCACTCATTTTCATTAGAATGGACATCTTTTTAATTAACAAGGGCCATGCTGACGATTCAAAGGAGTGCAGACTTGGCAAAGAAATATCAGTTTGTTACGGTCAGCCATGTTTTTGTTTGGCGAAATTTACACTGGGAACTGGCAAATACGTTTGTTTTATTTCATTTTGAATTTAGACTTGTTTGTCTGTATGCAAGATTGTTGGTTTTAATATGTTTATAAAGGTTGAAAACATCAATAAAAACTAAAGGGGGAAAAAAGACATTAGAGAGAGAGATAAGTTAAAAATGTTAAGAAAGCAAGAAAGTTTGTTTTTTCGCAGGCTGCATCACTGATGGACTTATTTTGCGTTGAAGCCTTAAATGATGAACATCTTGAGTGTGAGGGACACTTGCCCCTACTTATCAAAGTGAAACCATGAATACAGTCCATATCATTTTCATTTTTTTAAATTATTAGAGAGCATCATCAAATTAACATAAAGGGGCGCATGTCTAAAAGGGGCTTAAAATGAACCCTTACAGCTGGGACCTAAGTGGTGTTTATGCTTGTGTGATGCATGAAAAACCTTGAGCAAGTACCCAAACAAATGGTCACGGGTGACGAGGACTAAGCCCCACTCTTTCAGTCAAGCTTGAATGAGATCACAAATTACTAAACAGTGTGTTACCTTCTGCAAGGCAGCGTTCATGTCCAAAGTAGACCCTTGTGGCTGAGCTGTGGATGTAGGGCAGAGGCAGCTGGGGGAGGCTGACTTCATTTCCCCCTGTCACACTCTGAAAAACACACACACCTCCATTATTTAAGTGTCAACCTGTGTTTTACCTCTGAACCTATCTCTCTGTTGTGTGTACTTCCTAAGCACTTACTCAGTGACTGTATATGGCTTCAGTCACTTGGTGATACTGTTATGTATGTCTGTGTCTGGTCTACATAATTATTAGGGTATGATGTTTTGCTTTTTGTTTTTTATCTATGCATGTGGGCACTTCCTGCGATGGACTGGGGTCCTGTCCAGGGTGTACCCCACCTTTTGCCCGATGTAAGCTGGGACAGGCTCCAGCCCCCACTATATGCAGGATAAGCGGTTTGACGATGGATGGATGGTGGATGGTGGGCACTTTTACTTTACTACAGTCTCCTGTAATAAAAAGTAGCATATTTGGCATAGAGACATGGTCACAAACTGTAGTTACCTTGTAGACATAGAGATACTCTCTGAGAAAGGCGCCCTGCTGTGTGGCCGTCTGCCTGCTGTCATTGGTCAGGATCTGTCTGAAGGCTATTATAGCATTCTCTGGTTGGCGAAGTGTGAAGGACTGTCGACCAATTGTGAAGTTGATATGGTCCTCTGCTAAAGACCAGCCCCTTTCCTTATACACCTGCATGGCTTGGCAGTAACATCGAAGTGCATGCCTCCTCTACACGCAGAGCCGTAGGGACGACAAGTGGCAGGACAAAAAAAAAAAAGAGGTTGTGAGGTACACAAGGCAACCAATGAGGAGCACAAATGAAGGAAGCTAACAGTAACTCAATCAATAGTGTGGAGAAACATGACAGAGTGACTTGGAAGGTGGTAGGAGGCAGACTCTAAATCCAAATGGGACAACCACTGTGTCATAGACAGGCATATCACCGCATATAACTTGTTTAGAGATCCTCGCACAGTGTCAAGTTAGACCACAAGGATCAATGATTGCTAAACAGCTCACCTGTCCTGCTTTGCTGAAACGATGACCAGC